GTTAGTTTTGTGCCTGAAAATGAACGATTATATAAATCAAATAATAATTCGTTCTGATACAGCCCATCGCTTGGCTTTTTTTGGTCATTCTATGATGCTTGGTTGCTATGTGTTTTTATTTTTATACATAATATAAAAACTTTTATACGTAATATAAAAATAAAAACACACGCAGCCAAGCATCATAGAATTATTAATCACCCATCTGTTTAGTCTATTTTATTGTAAGCCGCCTAGCTGAGAAGGACTATACAGTGGGGCAAAAAAGTATTTAGTCAGCCACCAATGGTGCAAGTTCTCCCACTTAAAAAGATGAGAGAGGCCTGTAATTTTCATCATAGGTCTACCTCAACTATGTGAGAGAAAATGGGGGAAAAAATCCAGAAAATCACATTGTCTGATTTTTAAAGAATTTATTTGCAAATCATGGTGGAAAATAAGTATTTGAGAATGTCATATGGTCAGATGAAACCAAAGTAGAACGTTTTGGTCTAAACTCAACTCGTCGTGTTTGGAGGAGAGAGAATGCTGAGTTGCATCAGAATGTCATATGGTCAGATGAAACCAAAGTAGAACGTTTTGGTCTAAACTCAACTCGTCGTGTTTGGAGGAGAGAGAATGCTGAGTTGCATCAGAATGTCATATGGTCAGATGAAACCAAAGTAGAACGTTTTGGTCTAAACTCAACTCGTCGTGTTTGGAGGAGAGAGAATGCTGAGTTGCATCAGAATGTCATATGGTCAGATGAAACCAAAGTAGAACGTTTTGGTCTAAACTCAACTCGTCGTGTTTGGAGGAGAGAGAATGCTGAGTTGCATCAGAATGTCATATGGTCAGATGAAACCAAAGTAGAACGTTTTGGTCTAAACTCAACTCGTCGTGTTTGGAGGAGAGAGAATGCTGAGTTGCATCAGAATGTCATATGGTCAGATGAAACCAAAGTAGAACGTTTTGGTCTAAACTCAACTCGTCGTGTTTGGAGGAGAGAGAATGCTGAGTTGCATCAGAATGTCATATGGTCAGATGAAACCAAAGTAGAACGTTTTGGTCTAAACTCAACTCGTCGTGTTTGGAGGAGAGAGAATGCTGAGTTGCATCGCAAATAAATTCTTTAAAAATCAGACAATGTGATTTTCTGGATTTTTTCCCCCATTTTCTCTCACATAGTTGAGGTAGACCTATGATGAAAATTACAGGCCTCTCTCATCTTTTTAAGTGGGAGAACTTGCACAATTGGTGGCTGACTAAATACTTTTTTGCCCCACTGTATGCATGTGAGACAGGCAGCTATATAAATCAAATAAATAAATGAATAAATTTTTGATATGGTAAGCTAATTCCATAATGGGTAGTAGCATCTAGGAAAATATATCCAATGGAACAGCTTCCCATAAAGTTCCAAGACCATTAACTAAACATGTGTTCAGTTTAGGAAAATTAGGAAGCATGGGAAAGAAATTTAAAACCCCACTTTAACTCTCTTTGGTATAAGAAGGCAGGAAGGGAAAATGCTGTCAGGCTTTCAAGATTCTGTTATAGCCTACATCAATAAAATAGAGTTCTAGTATTTCTTATGGAGTTTGTTTCCAAAACTGGCCTAACTTAAAGGGCTAGCCTGTGTAGAAGAAACCCAATACAACTCAAAAGGGATTTTGCTTTCAGCTGTCATAGCATGTAACATAGAAATCATATGAGAAAGGCTCCATTCATGGTAATGATGCAACAGCAGTGGTCAACACACTGGGCTGCCCCAAGTGGTCAATCAACTGGGAATAAACCCAACAGTTGGACTGGTTTCTTATCACAGATGACGCATTTACCAAGATTAACCACAGATTGTTTCCCCATGGTCCATAGTTCTATATTCCCCATAGTCTGGGTAAGAGAAGCCACCTGGTCTAGTATATTATCAGAAATGAAGGCATCCCTTGCTTAGTCTGACCTTCATGGTTGGTCAGTCCCTATTCAGTGTGGGTTCCAATCTTTCAATTGCAGGTCCCTCTTTGGCCATACCACTTAGTACACCACAAATATATCAGTGTCTGGCAGGCGTACCCTTCCTAGGTGTGATTGATGAATCCTCTAAGGCAGTCCCTGGTGCTTAGCTGCAGTGAGAGTACAGGTAGTCCCTGTGTTAACGCCTGGGTTACAGATGACCCATAGTTAAGAATGGAGCCCATTGTAGGAAAATTCAAGTTAAATACGCAATGATTCCAGTTAAATACACAATGGTTTGAGTTCATTACACAATACTACTTATACAATATTATAATACTGTTCCGGCTTACATACAAATTTGACTTAAGGACAGACTTTGGGAAAGGAACCTATTCTTAAACTGGGGACTACCTGTAGTTCACAATACTTGATAAGGTCCTTTCCATCTAGGACTTAGTGTAATTTTTTTTCTGAAATAATTTAACCCACACCCACTCCCCAATTTTAAGTTTAGACACTGGCTCCCCTTTGGAGTCCATCTGAGCATGCACAACAATGATTTGTCTATTTTGTGCTTGAAGAACAAAGATCAGGCCCTTTAAATGGTCCATAAGGGCCTCATCTTCTACACAAAGTTCACTTTGCGTCCATAATAGTCCCAGAGGGATGTGCGTACGATGGCTCATTAAACATATATGAAAAAAAATGTGGTTAAAATTCACTAATTTTTGAAATAAAAGGTTGCATTAATTTCTTTATGTTGTCTGGGGGTTATGAAAATAATTTAGACATATCTAGAGGGTATCATATTTGGGAAGAGTCTTCTAATTTTATACTACAGTATAATAGTATATTCCTTCATTGGCCAGGGAATTAGATTAGATTATCCCCAAAATCTTTTTCCACCCTTACATTCTATTATGCTAGATTATGCAAATTCTTCATGTAGCATTTTTAAATCAAAATTAGTATTGGAAAGTTTAATAATTTTTTGCAGGTATAATACTTCAGAATTACACATTTCATTCTGTGGTGAGAAAAATCTGCTTTGCCTTGTTAATTTTTACCCTAAACTTTGAAACATTGTTTTTGGATTAATTAAGCCAAAACTTTGATTACAGAAATTGCCTTCACAGCAGTGTGCATGTAAATTTAACTCTAGCCCCTTTTAAAATAACCTTTATAAGATAATTATGGCCAGTAAAAATAGATAAAAATAGTTCAGAAAGTTAAAAAAAAAACAAAAACTTTTTCAGCTTTTCTAATCAAGCATGCGGCATGTTTGAGAGATTATTGTCCTACTTTGCAAGACATGTTGCAAGCTTTTTTATTTTTTCCAGTATGTAGGAATGTGTATTAACGTTAAATTCCATTTTGTATGTGTGTTGTTTTCCCTAAAGCAACAAAATATTTTTAATTCTTTAGCATTATCGTTTAAATCTTAAAATGTATGATGACTGCATTATATCATATGATCTACTTTGAGATTCACATGTGATATTTTGTTGGATGCTATATTTTTAACCTTTCAGAATTTGTCTCTGCTTACAAGATGCTAATGAATTCTACTTAGTATTGAATTTAAAGTTCATTTTGAACTACCAGTTAGATGGCTAGCCTTGTGGGGTAGAGAGAAGGAAAAATATTGATTCTAGAAGGTTTGTTCTGTCTGACATAGACAGAGCCTCCTCACCATCCATGCTGATCTGCAGAGACAGTACACAGACTTATTCTGTATTTCATAACCAAATCTTATCCAACCTAGAATTTCCCCATGTATTTGACTATAGCCCCCTGATCAGCATCTGGCAAGGTTCTTGTAACCTGTAGTCTTGAGATACATGCTTAGATGCCAGTGTACTCTAATAATGGCCACTGAAAACAGTAGATCTAAAAACTTCATGATTCCAGAGAATAGGAGGGACTTACTTATGCCCATGCCATTCGTTGATTGTGATGATCAAAGAGCACTGTTGCCCAGGTCTTTCATAAGTGAAATAGATAGTTCAAGTAAGACTGGCTCTGTTGTCTCTTCCACTAATTAACATGAAGTTGAGTGTGGAGACATGAATGTAGGCAGATGGATTTATTTTTATTTATTTTATTCGTTAGATTTATACCCTGCCTCTTCTCTGGGAGTTCAAGGCAGCTTACATGCAGTCTCCTGCCATTTTATCCCCACAGTAATCTTAAGAGTTAGGTTGGGTTGAGAGAAAATGACTGGCCCAGTGTCACCAAATGAGTTTCCATGGCTGAGTGTGGATCTGAATCTGGGTCTCCCTTATTCTAGTTCAGCACCTTAACGACCACATGATAGTTGTTGTCCAGCTTTGTATTGATTAGGACCCACAAGGCACAACCTGCAATATGATACTTGTTTTTATTTTTAAATGTATTGGTATTGACTGTTCTAGTAGTAGGGCATTCCAAAACTGAGTTTCATTAATCAGTATTTCAAGGGTGCCTTTCTTCATGATCAGGGTGCAGATAAACTGTTTCCATGGCTGATGTATATTAGGAAGATTTGTCTCAGAAGTTTGAGAGAACTTTTGTTTTCTTTCTAGTACACAATTAGGGTGAAATGTTAATTATACCATTATGTGTAATACTGGATATATTAAGCAGAACTCCTTCTTGTGGAACTTGTGTGGTCAGGACAGATCATTCATATACAAGAAGATATAAGTAGACAAAGAAAGGAAAAGGGAGGAAACCCCTAATGGGGACAAAACCTCCTGTGAAACTGAACATAATCATGACTATGGAATGCAGGCAGGTTTTTGCTGCTGAAATGGAATGAAATGTCCTGGAGGAAGACATGGTTGATTGGCTGAACAAGAGTGTTCCATACCACAAAATCATCTTGCAAGTCTTTGTTGTTGTTTTAATAGCTGTAAGCATGTGAAGCTTTGTGTTCATTATAAACCAAATTGCAGTATAACTTTGTGAGTAACATTAGGTTTTAAACATGACACATTTCATATTTTTGCCTATTTTTTAAAGAATAACATTAACAAGGAATATAAGTATTGTGTCTATATTAATTTTTCCTGTTTCTGTAGAGGATGTACTGAGTAAAGATGCTGGGGAATGTGCAATATGCTTGGAGGAACTGCAGCAAGGGGATACAATAGCACGATTGCCTTGTTTATGCATATATCATAAAGGGTGAGTACATACACAGCATAATTCAATAACTTGTTATTGGACTATATTTAGAGGAATGTAGGCAGAATCCACCTCATCTACCGTGACTTCCCTTTTCTCTGCATTCCCATGTACCCCCGCCCCACCCAAATACCTTCTGGAATAACCCCAAATTCTTCAAACAGATGTGGGTATAGGAGGGAGATTTAAATGTTCTGTTAGTTGTGGCTGTTATATTATTTTTTCCTAGCTATGTCTGCATTAAATGAACTCAGAATTAACTCTTACAGTTATAATCATGCAATATCTGTTCTTTTGGTATATTTAATGTTTCATTTAAAACGTATTTCTGCTTTTTAGATCCCTGATAATATATAAAACAAAATGCAAACAGATACTGTAAAGAAAAAAGTTGTAAAGGTTTACCTGTGTAAATATTGGCACATTTTTGAAATAAAAGAAATGCACAAATTTTGATTTGTCCTGTTTTCTATGTTCTCATGGAGACCATATACATCTTTGGAACATTTTAGAGCATTTATCCAGAGATATGGTGCCTATTCCCTCTCTCCCTCTCCCTCTCCATACTTTTCCACAACTGAAGACTTTTTAAAATTCAGGCCTTAAAGGATGAGACACTTGCTCTCCCATAGCTTTGCAGTAATAGCCTTAAAATATTGGCTGCTTCATATACAACGCATATGTCTGGAGGGATGGGCAACATCTCAGTGGGTGATATATTTGTTTGAGTGCTTAGGCCAAGGACCACAATGAGCAGAGCATTGATGTGATCACTTCATCAAGAGTGCTGGGATGATTTTCTACCTTTCTTGTTTCCCATCAGATTGTGCTGGGGAACTGTGCTGCCTTTTAATAGTTTGCTGCCAAATTTCTGCAGGGTGATCTCAGGAAATTCACGGGGCTGCAAGAAAAAGGGGGTTCTGGAGGGATAGGTGGATTACAGGTCTCAACTTTCCCTCCTCTGCACTTCCATAGAATGGCTTATTTGGTTAGGCATTAAGGCCCACAAAGCTTGTTCAATGAAACATGGCTATGTATGAATGCATGAGATACAACAATATCTCAAACAACGTTTTATTTAATTTCTTTAAAACCAACTAATTTATGGAAAATCATTTATTAATACAGTCTTCATAATGATACATAATGATAGCAAAAACATTTATTTAGAAATCAGTGCCTTAATTTCAGTGATGCTTATGAGTAACTTGTCCTCGTATTTCTGCCTGAAGTTTTCCCCCTTTATCATTCTTTTAGGTGCATAGATGAATGGTTTGAAGTAAATAGATCTTGTCCTGAGCATCCTTCAGATTAATGGCCAAGTTTGCTGTTTTTAAAGGTAAGAGTTGTTACCTTCTAACTTTTTAATGTAATGTGGTTAGACTCATAATTGAGTAACTGTGAGCTCTCCAAAGCATCTTTTGATTTCTGTTGCTCTGTTTGTAATGGTACATTTACATGTTTATGTCACCAATGGGATGCTTTGTATTTCATTGTCATGGACTCCATATGCCAGTTGCTTTTTTAAACAAGTTCTTGCTGTAGGGATGCTGCTTGAGAGATGGTCACTTAGCCTATTCAGAACTGACTTGTAATCTCTAAGAACTTTTTCATGACTTAATGAATTCTCCTTGTTGGGATCCCCTGCTGTATTGAAACACAAATTTCTCTTTTTTTAAATTTGAAAACCCGTACTCTGAAGGGAGAAAGCAGTATGTTTGAAATGAGAAATTCCTATTTTTAAATGCCAGCTACTGTTTCTGTTACAGTATTTATGTAAAAAAAAGTTTGAATTCAGGCACAGTACAAGCCATTATTTTAGGATTGCATGCCCTTCTGACTGTAGGCTCTGTAATTATATTGTGTTTATCTGCTACATAGGTTATATAGGATATAAAAGGAGCCACATATGCATCATGTGGATCTTTTGCTTGCCATGTCTTAAGCCTTTATCAAAAGAGATAATGGAGCCACATATGCATCACTGATTTCATTTACTGTTAAAGCTTTCTTGCATCCAGCAGCAGCAAAAATCATAGAGCTAGAGATATGAATGATTGATGCTGCCACAGAAAATACTCTAAGCTTGAAGGAGTTTTCTACTATTGATATTTTGATGAAATATTGTATTGTTGCTATGTTGCATATTGCAATATTGTATTATTGGTGTATTTTTAAAAAGACAGTGGCAGAACTATCTAATGCACCACAGAGCTTCTGTAACTGATGCTTGTTCCCTTCCTAGTTATGCTAGAATTATCTACCCTTAAATATAGTAGAGAGAGATATCTAAATGTACATCTATATTGGGTCAGTCATCCTCTCTTATTCAACCAAGAGTTGTGACTGCAATTGAGCCAGCCATAAGTTTGACTAAATAAACAAATAAACCTACTTCAAAAGGTTTTAGCAACCAAATTACGAGAACTCTTTATACAACCATGAAACATACATATACCCCCATAGGGTTCCAGCACTTATGGTCCAAAGAGCCATAACTAACTCAGAAGTAGACATTTTCAGTTGCAACCCCCATACTTAGGAATTTCCTCCCCATGGAGACCCAGTCTGCTCTTTCCCTCCTGGGTTTCTGGAGAGCAATTAAGACTTGATTATTTCATCTAACACAGAAGGAGAGCATGTTTGAGCAAAGGTTGGGTTCATGACTTTGTATATTTTCTGTTTTTTAATTTGATGTTGGGAATTTTCTTTATATTATGTATGGGTTTATCTTATGCTGATCTTGATTGTTAGCTAAGCCTTTGGGAATAGACAGCATACAAGTAAAGAAGCCATGCTCAAAGATATTACCCATATGCTGAAGTGAAAAAATTACTTCTCAAAATCACTAATATTAAGGAGTAAGTTCAAGAGAATTAATTATTGTAATTATTTTTAAATATCTGAATAGGAGGTGCCCTGATTGATACTGCTATGCTTTACAAAATGTATTTTACTCTTAAGAAATATAATTGTATGTTTGTACATTCTTTGTAGTCTCTTACACTGCTCATCAGAAGTAATGGATGTGGAGTTCCATTGTTAGAACTTAATCTGAAAGTGAACTTGTATTCGTTTTGAAGTGGGAAAGAAAAGAGATGGAACAAGCATGGGACAAATGATGCAAAGTGAGATCCTCAGTGTACCAAATGCTCACCTAAAGGCAACACAGGGATTTTGAAAATGCTGCACATCCTGGAAAAATTCTCTCCCACAGACTTCATAGATACTTCTTTTGTATTTACAGGCCAAAGTTACTTTCAGTTTTTTTTAAAGCAGTGTACAGAAACAGAATGTTCTGACATAATTCCTTGAACAGAAGCTGTGTGCTCTACATCAGTCTGGAACATTATACAAGGAAGATGCCATTTTTGAGCTGGAATCCCCTATTCCTTTATCCCACGGTAAAGGAGAAGACATACTATGAAGTACAGTAAACTTACTCTTGAGATTCCTCATCCAATATGCTGTTCACATTTTTTCTGGAAATAATGCAACGTTCTCTTGACATAGGAAATTTTGTAAGTAAAGCTTTGTCACAGTGCAGCCCAAAGAGCAAAATGTAATCAAGGCTGATTCTGAATTAATATTGTTGATCCAGCTAGAGTTATTGAAATCCACAAAAACTGTGCTCATTTCTGTATAATATTCTAAAATCCACTTTTTCTGCTTGTGAATATCAGTGCAGCAACAGCAAAAATTTTTTTAAAAGTGCATAATCTATAGCAGCTATGCAATATTTTTTTTAAAAAAATTATAGAGACATGACAAATACCATCTTTCAGAGTGCTGCCACTTGAGCTAATTTAACGGGTATTATATTTTTAATGATTCTGGTAGTTATTTTGTTGTACTACTACAGTCTCCAGGCCACCCTTCCTTAGGTTCAGTAGTCACAAAGATAGGCAAAATGAAATGTTTCATTGGGATGGCATCTGGCCTTTTTTATTTTTTTGACTTTTTTATTGGAGATTACTGTATCTCAATGGCCGGTCATAGCAGATTGTAGTAATTTGCATCAGTGTCATTGATATAGTAGCTGTAATCCTATACCCAGTTGTATATACTTCTTGTCTGATATAAACAGGATTACGTATATATACTTCTGTGTATACGATTAACAATATTGCCTGTATTCTTGAATCTATAATGCTTTACTACACAATTGTGGCTTACCATAAACTGTAAAATGAACTTTCTTGGATAGGGTAGAGAAGAACCTCACCAAATAAAATTGTGAGTTGTTAATAATATATTTGGGGATCTGTTTTGGAAGCAATTAAAGTATCTTGTGAAGTTTGTGATAACATGAAAAAGTATTTAATAAAGGTGATGGAAACTTAATATGAAACTTAAAATGAGAAAAATAAGATGTGTATCAGGTTATTTCATTATATTTATGTATTCTGTTCTCTAAGATCATTTTACAAAGCAACTTCTGTTAAGTTCTCTTATTGTATTAACTGCTGCTATTACATTGTGCATAGTTCATATGCATATAGACATACTTGGTACATTGCTGTACATTCACAATTGTTAAAAATCTCAGACCAAATATACAATCCACTGATAATGTCTTGTGCAGTGTACGTATGTATTCAATGCTATAGCCAGCAAACATCATCATCTTCAGGAAGAAAAAAATTACTGTACTTTCCTTATCTTGTTTAATATTACATAGTGGTCAGAATTTGTTCAGCAAGCATGAAATTCCCAAACCATATTTGCTTCCACTGTGCAAAATAGCCAGGGAAGGGGCATTTACAGGAAGGAAGTCATGAGGGACAAGTGGCGAGAACTTGAGTCTTTTCCCATTTACTGGTTTTTCTCTAAAGGATTTGTTTCATTTTCCAGCACTAAATACTTAAAAACCCCTAATATGAAAGATCTTCACTTTTATTCAGAACATCCAATATAAATGATCTTTTATCTAAGACAGCCTTAATTAAAACATGATATTATCTGTGTAGTGTGGGGATGAGAGAACTTCACAATTGTGGGATTTAATTTGTTGTTGTTTTTTTTACTAGAGTCCTGAGATCAATCAAAGCCAAGTATAAAAGGCATATATTTAGAAATAAAGCAAATTTTGGGACACAATTCTTTTCATAATCAGAATCAAACTTAGCCCTTCCAAATAAAGATCGCTTCCTAATTATCCCATCTCTTCTTCATTTCAGTGGAGAGAGTTGTTTTGAGACTGTCCAATTAGTGACTGGCAAAACATTCTATTTAAAACCACATTGATATTCTCTTTCTTCAGAACCTCAAATTGGATTCCAATAAGATACTTTGGAACATACATGCAGTTGTTGCATGATCCCAGGAAAAGGCACAACTGCTTTAAAGACTTGCAGACAAGTTCTACATTCTGTCTGCTCTGGAAGCACTTTTTAAAAATCAAATCCAAAATACTACATATTCCTATTATCCCAGCTTCTGTCCTATTGTAGATAAGCCCATCACTCAAATTCAAGATAACATTATTTATGTCTGGAGGATCCTGCCCTTTTTTTTTTTTGGCTTGCTTCTGTCTGACTCAGTTTAGCAACAGGAACAAGTATTCTGGCTTGTGTTCTTTTTTTGCTTGTTCAAAACTAAGGCTCCACTCCTAAATGATTTGGGAGAAAGTCCACTAAATTTATTTGTCAATAGATATGTATAGAATTGTACTAGTGGGTATTTATACGCTTAGGGTCACTTCCCTGTGCATTTACCTGCACCCAAGTACCATTAAAAATATGAAATCTGGATTCAAAGTAAAGCACATAGATTCTCGAACTTTCATAAATTTTGCTAAAATAATTTTACATGCTAAGTGCGAAAGGAGGCAGGTTATATTAAAGCACAAGAATTAGTTTAGGTTTAATAAGTTGGTATGCTTGGCATATATTTTTGCATTTCCTAAAATTTCGGTTTTTTCCAACTCTCCCTCCCATAAGCCCCCTCTTTTAAATAGCTTTGTTATTATTAAAAACAAATTCTTTTCTTTTCACTATTAGACATTTTACATGTCCATTCATTCCTTTGCACTAGTTTGGCTTCTTTTCTTGTGGGAAATACAGTCTTGGAGTCAAGCACAAGGAAATTTAGATAACGGAAGTGTTGCAGAAGAAACCAGGTAGTGGGAACCAGATGCTGGATGCCTTGCAAATATCTCCCTCAGCTCATTTTGCATATTGGAAGCATCAGGGGTTTTGTTGCCAAAACCTGGTTTCAGTCCGTTAGAAGGAATCCTGTGGTTTTCTGTTGTTCATAGCATTCAGATTTTTTTTAAAAAAGAGCTGTAGGCAACTGCAGCAGTATATTATTCTTTCCATGATGTTTTAAATTGTCTTTCTGACAGGGAAGTGTTGAATTAATATTAATTTCAATTGTTTCAGCTTTTCCCTATAATAGCTCTGCATTATACCTTTGAAAAACAATTTGTCATTTGAAATTAATTGGAAAGCTTTGCTGGATTAGCTGGGGTTTGGCGATTTTTCATGGAGCTCAGGCACTAGTACCTGGTGCTCAGATTGAAATAATCTAAGCAAAGCAATACTTTAGAAGAAAACTGTACTTGTCACTTGTGCTTTTTCTGACTACCTTTTAAATCCTGTTCATACATTTTACATAAATAGCTAAAAATATATAGCAATATACATTTCCTTCAGACAAAAGAATAGGGCTATGTAGCACTTTTGGATTTGATCTCCAGAAGGTTTTTGGAACATACACTAGTGCTGGTGTAGCTCCTGTCTGCAACATCTTAAACAGCTGCATCTTTTTCCTGGGCATAGATCACCTGGCTGCCCTCTGCCATGCAATCCTGGGAGAAGACACAACTGATTTAAGGTACTATGGGGAGATCTGAACATTGTACTCCTGTGTACACCAGAGCACTTCTTGGAGTTTGGATCCAAAATATTGCACAGCCGTACCGAAGAATATAAAAAGAAAGTGGCTAGTGTATCAGGGAGCCAAACTGGCCACAGTTTCTGGATATGCACACGTTGGTTGATTTCATTATGTTTTATAAACCCATTCAAGAGACTTTCCAGTCAGGTTTTTGACTTCTGTCTTTTCAATTCAAACTTCTTTATTTGAGGTGTTGTTTTATCTGTTTTATTCTATACCATTCAAGTGTGTAGCAAAACCTGATGGATCTAATAAGGAATGTTAATATTTCTTGCTAAGTCCAGTATAGTTTCTAAACTTGCTGTTATTTCTCTCTCTAGCTAATTCTTTAGACATTTTCAATGCTTTGTGGAACAGACATACTGGTACAGAAAGTTCCTACTTCGTACTGTTGTGAGTTTATCTTGGTGCTGGTTTTCTTGATAGCATAACTTGCTATTTTACTTTTTTGTCTCGGTCTTTAGTTTTCAAACCTTTTTCTTTCTTCTTCCAAATAGCTACCACACATTACAATTTAAAGCTTACTCTATGGCACCTTCTTTCTTTGTGCAACTCTCATGTTGATCTTGGTCCCCAAACCAATGCCTTATAAGGAGAAGGGTTTTTTCCCCTGTAATTTTAACTGCAACCACTTCCTGAAATCCAGTAGGGGTAGCTTACCTCAGATATTCTGGCTTCTGAACAAATCCTACACAAAGAAATGTGAAGGTTAAAATCTGTAATCAGAGTTTGTATTAGATACACTGCTCTGCCCAATAGACTGAAACATCAGAAGGGGATTGTTCTAAATTAATTCACCGATGAAGTCAAATTGTGGTTAAATTGTAAGTTTAAAAATCAGGCCTGCTGTAAGGCATACTTCACTGGGGTTAATGCAGTGGTGACAACCTCTTTGCAATCAAGAGCTACATTCTTTCATGAGAAAGTTGTCAGGGGCCCCATCTGGCTGGGGTGATGCCAAATTCCAAAGTGGTGGAAATGGCCTTTTCTGTCACCTTTTGTCATTTTCCTTTTAATATTTGCTTTTCCCTTTTATTATCACCTCTTCACACACTACCCATCTATTCATTGAAACAGAAACATGCACACAAATACAGACCTGGTAATGTGTAATTTATCCATCTGTCCATTCAACTCTTCCAATTATCCTCTTTATCTCACACATTCACACTTCTGCTAATATCAGCCTCCATTGGTCCATCATATCAGTGATTGATTGGATATCTCCACTGTCCTTTTTGAAGAAGGGCTAGGCAAGCATAGGATTTGAAAACATGCCTGCCAGCTCTTTTTCTTGCAGTGGTAGCAGTGCATTGAGGGGCATAGTGTGAAGGTCCAGAAGGGGTTAGAAGCAAAACCATAAGAGGGCAGCACCAGCAACATTATTCCATGGGTTGTTATTTCAGTTATTGTTCTCTGTGGTTGAGATACACATGTGCTGGCCTGCTCTTCTTTTTCTCTGGCAGTAGCATGAAGGCCTGCACAATGATGTGGGATGCATAGAGGGAGACTGAAATCCACATATAGACTAGTTAATGCCACCGTGTTGAAAATTAAATTACACTTCTTCAATCTGATGTAGTCCCAGTACATCTGGAGAGCAACGCTCTAAATTCCCAACCACTATCCCAACCAGGTGATAGTTGTCCCAGCACACTTGGAGCCATCAGGTTGGGGAAGGCTGCTATGAACAAATGTAAGCAATAGTACTTACTGAAGCTGCCAGTGTAATCAGCGCATATTTGGAAAATTGACACAATAGGACATGTATGTATATATGTATGTATGTATATTGCAGCAGAGGATATTCCCTGAGGTACCATTAATGGTGTGCAATAGTTGCTTGCAGCAGTCATCAGCCCATTTTTTTTTTAATTTGTGACAGATCTTGCATTGCTTCAGCATGGATATTTCTTTAAATCTGAAAAATCTAGGTGATTAATTAATCTTAGTTTGATTAATTAATCAGCTAAACTATTGATCAGTGAGAGCTACCTTTAATGAGGCATAAATCAATTCATGCAGGGAGTTAGATTGCTTAATTTTGAAGCTATTTCGCTCTAGAATGTTCTTGAAAAAGAATAAAAAATTTAAAATAGTTGTGAACTGTTTATTAAATTGTAGAGTACTGTGGATTGCCTTTAATATCCCAAATGCAATTATACTGAGGTGTTAACAAGGCAGAAATTAAGAATGTCTTAATTGATTTCATAGATTAATTGGTCTAAAAGTGGCAATCCATTAATTGTTGATTGTTCTGTTTACAAGAGCTATGAAGTGCATCTTGATTTAACACCTTTCCATGTTTTGACACTTACCCTGATTCTTAAACATTGGCAACAATAGCAAAGGATTGTTCACACAAACTGCAAATGTGATTCTTGGAGAAATCATATAATATGTGGTTTTCAAATCTCAGATTTTCAGATAACTTTTTCCATGTTGATTTTTTGTTTGTGGTTTGCCAAGAAGTCACTGTGTTGCAGAAAATTTGGGAATGTGGCATCCTTAATTCATATGAGCTACTGGCCACCCCATAGATGTTGGTATGGCTGAAGGTGATTTACACATTCTGCTAAGTCATAGCATGGTTTCTTTGGTTTGGGATTAGCATGTGTGAATTCAGCCACTCTGGTTTGCACACCATGGTTTAAGAATTATTGTGATGTTTGAGACCAGCCAATTATGATTTGTTAAAAAAAGGTTATGCAAACCACAATATAACACAATGTGTATCTGGTATGTCTGATAATATAACCAGATCTTAAATGGAAATATATATTGCAGGCAAGGATTTGTAACAGTAAGCAAGCTTCGTAATAGGAAACTTGTCTGTCCTTTTTGCTCTTCTCATTGTGAAACTCCTAAAAAGCTTCCAATATTTTCCTGAAACTGTGATAACCATTAGCCTTATGTAGGCATTCATTAAAGTAAGGTTAAAAGGTGATTTTGGTTTAACAAGGATTCTAATGTCACCTCCCTACTAGCCTTAAATATACAGAATAATTTGAAAAATAAAGCGGAGATACTAGAATATACATTTGAAGAAGCTAAATTGCCAGGCCAACTTTTAAATATGAAATGATGATTAAAGAATAACTCGACTGGTGATGGGTATGAGCTTTTTAACCCACCTGGAGCTATTTGGATGGTTGAAAGAACCCACTGAAAATCAGCAATTCAGATTAACCATTTCCACAAACTGGGTGATGAAATTTTGACCACAAACAGTTTAGAGAGAAATGTTATAATTGGTGATGGCAATGAGCAAGAAGTCTTCCTTCATTATTCTGTTGATAAAAGAATGTAATTAGTAATGTTGAATGTAAAATACATTTGTAATTTTTTTTAATGAGCTATATTATTGGGAAAAATTACTTGAGGATTTTTTTTTTAAAGGTACATCTTGTACTTGGTCTGCCAGTATACAATCATGATTTTTATTTTACTGATCTAGGCTGTACATTTTAAGTAACATTCCATTTGTTTAAAATATGTACATGTTAATAAATTTTTGAAGCATACTTTCCTTTATGACTGGATATCTTTTTGAGTTTTGTTTAAACATAAACAGGAAACTGAACTCAGTAATTAAAGCTCTGGCTTATATCAGCTTCAAGATATATTTTGTTTCTTGTTCTTATAGATTTTTATTTAGTTAGACATTTTCGTAATGAAAGAAATGAATTGTGTATATTTAAATGTGTGATGCTTCATTCTGATTCCTATTCAGCTGCTGGCATGTAACAGTGAACTGTTCTGATTGTCCACAGTATGCAATATTAGTCTTCTGTCTTCTACCATGCCAAGAGCCAGCAAGGATCCAATACCTTTGTAGCTCAGAAGAAAAGCACAAAGTCCATCTATTTTCCGTAGAGTTTGCTCTGTAGTAAATGTGTTTAGGATTGCAGCCTGTTCCTGCATGAAAACATAGCCTGTTTATGACCTTAAGTAATGCGCTGAGAAAGAACTTGTGCCGTTGCCAAGTTTGAATAGACCAGTAGTAGGCAACCTGATACCTTTCAGATCATTTGGACTGCAACTTTTATAAAGCACTGCCAGTGAGCAAGGATTATAGGAACTGCTATCCATAACATTGTTTCCAGTTGCGTACTCCTAGAAAATACAATGTTAAGCTAAATGTGTGCAATGTGGAATGTGAACATTCACAATGAAATCTTCATAAGAAAAGTTACCATGTGGGCTGTCCACCCAAGAC